TCCCCCGAGAGCGCCGCAACTCCCCTTCTCCCCTCTCCCTCCCTCCCAGGCTTGCCGCACGAAAGTGCTGGGAGGGAGGGAGGGAGGAGAAGCGAGTAGTGTCGCGCTCGGGGGATAGCAGAGGTGAGCTGGGGCCAGTGGGCACAGGGAGTAACTCTTGGGGGGGGCAGGGAACCGCTCCCTGCCCCAGCTCACCTCCACTCCACCTCCGCCATCCCCCGAGCACGCCACAACTCCCCTTCTCCCCACTCCCTCCCAGGCTTTCCGCGCGGGAGCAGAGGTGAGCTGACAGCCGGGGGGAGGCGACAATTTTTTGAGGGCCTAGGGGCGGCAAATTTGTTAATCCGCTACTGGGTCCGTGTGTTACAAACAATACTGCTTCGGTAAAATGCTGCATTTTGGCTTCACAGATATGACCTGGGGAGTCCAGCCTCCTTCTTTGTGATCACCGGCTGAACGGCTGCGCAGAATTAGAAAACAGCCACGAAGAACTAAAAAGGACTTTCTGTGTGATGTCATGATGCACTCCGCAGCCGAAAAACAAGAATTGAAGTAGTGGTGGGACAGCGAGAAGAGGGACCGAAAGGAGAACGCAGCGCGCCAGAACGAAGCCACGGAGCGGCTCTTAAACGTTATGGAGTGCCAAGTGGACATGCTCTAAGCACTACTAGCACTGCAAACTGAGCAGCTCCGCACCCGCCCTCCCCTACAGCCGCTGTCACAAAACTCTTTCCCATGCTCCCCCCAGACACCGCCAACACACCCTTATCAACCTCCTGGCTCCAGTCTGTACCTGCTGCATTCCACTCCTGCCCATCACAATTCAGCCCTGCAGACTCCCACTACCCACTGCACTCAACACCCGTCCCTCTGCAGTTTAGCCCTGGTGAAGTACAGTACCCGCTGCACTGTACTCCAAGGGAGAAGGTTGCATATGATACCTGGATGTACACAAATCTTTAACCATCCCGGGATCCCACCTCCTCCTGGGACCCTCCCTTCCCCCATCCCCCACAGTGCTGATGTGGGGTTTTTTGTTTGTTTCTCTCCTCAGGTTGTTGTTTTTTTAAAAAGAGTTGTTTTGGTTTGAAATCAATCTTTATTCCATTAATTGAAAGCAAACAGAGCCCTGCAAAGCAACAGGCAATTTTCTTAAACCTTCATAGTGCATCGTCTGCACCTGTTACAATCACCTCCTAGCATTACAAGCACTGCACTCCCGAACATAGCAACAAATATTAGTGGCTTTTAGATTCAAATTGCTGCCTCAGGGCATCCCTGATCCTTATGGCCCCGCACTACACCCCTCTAATAGCCCTGGTCTTTGGCTGTTCAAATTCAGCCTCCAGGCACTGAGCCTCAGCGGTCCAGCCCTAAGTGAAGCTTTCACCCTTCCCTTCACAAATATTGTGGAGTGTACAGCACACGGCTATAAGCATAGGAATATTGTCATCGGACAGGTCCAGCCTCCCATATAGGCAGTGCCAGCAAAAGCACACTCAACAGTCATTCTGCACTTGCTCAGCCTGTTGTTGAAACGCTCCTTGCTGCTGTCAAGGTTCCCCATGTCATAATTATAAAGGGAAGGGTAACAACCCTCCTGTGTACAGTACTATAAAATCCCTCCTGGTCAGAGACACCAAAATCCTTTTACCTGTAAAGGGTTAAGAAGCTCAGGTAACCTGGCTGACACCTGACCCAAAGGACCAATAAGGGGACAAGATACTTTCAAATCTTGGTGGGGGGAAGGCATTTGTTTGTGCTCTTTGTTTTGGGTGTGTTCGCTCTTGGGACTGAGAGGGACCAGACATCAATCCAGGCTCTCCAAATCTTCTGAACAAGTCTCTCATATTTCCAATTTGTAAGTAACAGCCAGGCAAGGCGTGTTAGTTTTATCTTTGTTTTCTCAACTTGTAAATGTTCCTTTGCTAGAGGGAGGTTTATCCCTGTTTTGCTGTAACTTTGAACCTAAGGCTAGAGGGGGTTCCTCTGGGCTCTTTGAATCTGATTACCCTGGAAAGTATTTTCCATCCTGATTTTACAGAAATGATTTTTTTCCTTTTTCTTCAATTAAAATTCTTCTTTTAAGAACCTGATTGATTTTTCATTGTTTTAAGATCCAAGGGTTTTGGATCTGTGTTCACCAGGACTAATTGGTGAGGGTATACTCTCAAGCCTACCCAGGAAAAAGGGTGTAAGGACTTGGGGGGGGGGGAATTAGTCTCAAATCTGCCCAGGAAAGGGGGGGTTAGAGACTTGGGAAATATTTGGGGAAAGGCAGAGTTCCAAGTGTCTCTTCCCTAAGATTTGGAACATGCTTGGTGGTGGCAGCTTACTGTTAACCTAAGCTGGTAAATAAGCTTAGGGGCTTTCCTGCGGGTCCCCACATCTGTACCCTAGAGTTCAGAGTGAGGAAGGAACCCTTGACACCCCGCCTATGGCTTCATAAGCCACAGCATTAAGGGGTAGGCAGGGTCTCCCAGGATCACAATGGGCATTTTGACTTCCCCTACGGTGATCTTCTGGTCCGGGAAGAAAGTCCCTGCTTGCAGCTTCCTGAACAGGCCAGTGTTCCGAAAGATGCGTGCGTCATGCACCTTTCTGGACCAGTCTGTGTTAATGTCTGTGAAAAACCCACAGTGATTCACAAGCGCCTGAAGAACCATAGAGAAATACCCCTTCTGATTAATGTACTCGGTGGCTAGGTGGTCTGGTGCCAGAACTGGAATATGTGTGCCATCTATCGCCCCTCCACAGTTAGGGAAGCGCATTTGTGCAAAGCCATCCACAATGTCACGCATGTTGCCCAGAGTAATGGTCTTTCAGAGCAGGATGCGATTAATGGCCCTGCACACTTGCATCAACACGAGTCTGACGGTCGACTTTCCCACTCTGAACTGGTTAGCGACTGATCGGTAGCAGACTGGAGTAGCCAGCTTCCACAAAGCAATAACCATGCGCTTCTCCAAAGACAGGGCAGCTCTCATTCTCGTGTCCTTGCGCCACAGGGCTGGGGCAAGCTTATCACACAGTCCCATGAATGTGGCTTTCCTCATCCAAAAGTTCTGCAGCCACTGCTCGTCATCCCAGACATGCATGACGATGTGATCCCACCACTGAATGCTTTCCCGCGCCCAAAAGCAGCATTCCACTGTGGTCAGCACCTCCGGGAATGCCACAAGCAATCTCGTGTCGTGGCTACTACACGTGGCGAGATCAATGTCGCACTCCTCTTGCCTTTGTAGTTAAGGAATAACTCCACTGCCACTCGTGACACGTTATCGAGAGCAAGCAGCATATTGGTCAGCAGTGCGGGATCCGTTCCTGCAGACGGAAGAGGCAGAGCGCGCAGAACACAAACCGTTGAAAGATGGCGCCAAATGCGGACGGAAGCACAGGGATTGCTGGGACGCGAAGCAATGCATCACGGGTCATTGGGACAGGACCCAGGATGCCCTGCGACCCCTCCACCTTCCCACAATTCTTAGCGTCAGAAGAGGAAGAGATGCTCAGTGGGAATAGCTGTCCAGAGTGCACTGCTCCAAATACTGCTGCAAGTGCCTCAAGTGTGAACACGCTATTGCGCAGGCAGCTGAAGGTGTGAACACACAACCGCAGTTTCCCTTCAGCGCTTTCTGAGCGGTGATGGAACCGCCGGTGATGTAACTCTGCCAGTGTAGACATACCCTTAGACAGGCACGTGCAGCCCTCTGGGACGTATTTGTGCCTCCTTTCCAACTGAGACTGAGCTTGTGATCGTGACTCTTTGGTGAATCTTTCACACACTGGCCTTGGGGAAAGCCCCTGCACCTACAAACTGCATCAGGTGCCTTTAACATCTGCACACAGGAAAATGAGCTTCCTGCTTTTAAAGGGGACCTGCAAAAAGTTCTTGCTTCTTTACGATGGATAGGGAGGGTCTGAACAGTCTATGGATTTATTTTTCTTGCTTCTTATTTACCCTGTAAGTATCAGGAATGTCAAGTCTGCTCTGCCCTGGGGTCTCTGGAGGACTGGCTGGGTATCCCACAGCATGTACATTTGGCTCTCATGCCGTGGTTGACTGGGGATAGACCGTTCACACAGATCGCCTTTCCCCATTGTTCATTGGTCCGTGGAATTAAACAGATGGTAACAAAACACAAACAGAACAAGCAAGAGTTGTAAGGAGTTGGACAAGCTATTCCTCCCTCTCTTAGAACTTGGCTTTTAAAATCAGTTTAGTCCAACCCATGCAAGCAGGTAGAGGTGCTCCTGTCGGTCTGAGAGAAGAGTTGATTCTGGTTTAGCTTCAATTCCTAATTGATTGAACCTAAACTAAAATAACCCTCCTTCACACCACAATAAGTGCATCCACACCGGGGTTTTCACAGGTGTAAGTAAACTGGTTTCAAAACTAATTTCAGTTCAACTGGTTCCATTTTCATGTAGACATGTGTAACGAGGGCAGCTCTGCCAGCTGGGGCTGGAACCTGGGGGGCTGTCGCTGACGCTGCCTCCCCAGGGTTAAAGCCAAACCCCACAGCAATGACCGAAGGGCTGGGGAAGGGGACAGAGCCACGGTCCCAGGATCTCGCTGCTCTAAGGATGCACAGGAGCCGTGTGAGGAGCAGCAGCAGGGCAGGCACAAAGCGACAAAACAGCCTCACAAAGAGGAGGGTTTTTGTATTTTGTTTTACACTGAACCTGCTGCTCCAGGCAGGACGGGCAGCAAACCCCAGGGGTCCCCACTGCAGCCACTGGTCCCCGCGTGTGACAGACAGCTGGGATCACGCGGGTCAGTCTGGAGGCTGAGAGATGGGAGAGCAGGTGGGATGTTTGCAGAGCGAATGGGGAGGAGTTGGCTGAAGAAGGTGCTAAGGGGGATAGTGCAGCTGGTTCGGGGAAGAGCAGCAGCTGAGACGAGGCCTGTCCGTGCCCCCCCGATCCCGGGGTGTCGGCTGCTGGCGCAGGGCTCTCAGGATGGGAGGGGAGAGGGCTGCCCAGCAGGGGAGGGGGCTTCAGCGGGAATTTTCCATCGTGTCGGCGTCAGGGGCTTTAAACAAACACAAACATCCCCTGAGATGGGATCAAAATCACCCCCCCACACACACACACCCGGCAGACACCTGTAGACAGGGCCCCCTAGAACTCTCCCAAACCCCACAAAGACTGTCCCCTCAGAGTCACCCCCCGCCCTCAAGACAGATTCCCTTGTGCCCCACATAGACCCTTCTCCCAAGATGTCTCTCCCCCCACACACATGGTCCTGGTGGGTTCCATGCTCCCAGCTCCCGTCCTTTGCCCTCTACAACACACACAGACCTCTCCGGCCCATGGACTCCCCCCAACCATAAAGTTGTAGGGACTGGAGTTGTGTGTGGGTGCATCACACCTACCTGAGCCACAGGGGGCGCTGTACTCAGCCTCTGTGTGTTCACCTGTAACAGCAAGGGATGTAAGGAATGGAGGAGAGACCCAGTGGGGGGATGAGAACCCCTCCCCCTAATCCCACACAGGCAGAGTCCAGCCCCAGGGGATCCCTGCTGTAGGTCTGAGCCCTACAAAGGAGTGGGAGATTGCCCCCAGCTGTCTGAGTGGGGCTGTGCGCTCTCTCCCATCCCCCATCTCCAAGTAAATCAGATGGGCCCAGCAATCACTACTGAGTCACCCCTCAGAACGCTCATGGAAACCGTCCTGTCACCTCCTGCACCCAGCACAAAGGGTTCTGGGGGCGTCTGAGGAGCTGGATGGCAGGGGAAATGTGGGGGGCCCTGAAGGGGCGGGACTCGCCTTCTCTTGCTGGGACGGCCCCAGTTACACCAGCCACACCCTCCCCACTAGCCCGATGAGCACACGTCTCCTGTGTCCCTCGCGATGAGCAACCCCACAGATAGAACCTGGGACGGCTGTGACCTGAGTGGGATTTATGGAAATGGGGCACTTGGCACCTGGGGACATTTCAGTGACCCCACGCCCTGAGTGTGACACAGAGCCCACGAGAACAGCTGTAATGGGGGTGGAGCCAGTGCAGGACATGCCCACCCACCCACTGACTGTGACACAGAGCCTAGAGTAGCTGTAATGGGGGCGGAGCCAGGGCGGGACTCACCCATCTCGTAATAATCGTACAGTCTCACTGGGGCTGCTCTGAGATTCTTCACAGGGAAATCCTGCTCCAGGGAGAAGGTGAAACTCGCCGCTTCCTTCGTCAGCTACCGAGAGAGCGACAGAGCGAGCGCCTGGGCTGAACGTCTGCACTGGCAGCTCGAACCCCCGCCTCCCCGAGGCTCAGCCTGGCCCAGCCGCTTCCCCCTGCCCCCGCAGCCTGGAGCAGTGAGAAAATGCTTCCCCCAAATCCCTGTTCCACCCCCCTACAAAATGTGACCCCCTTTCATCACACTCAGGGCCCAGCTCCAGCCCCCCAACCCTGAGCTCCCCGTCGCTCCGTTCACGGCCCTCCCTGGGGTTTGGCTGAGTCTGGTCCCATCTCCCCGTCCTTTCTGGAAACGGGTCACTTGGAACCAGGGGAGATATCAGTGACCCCACGCCGTGCGTGTGACACAGACCCCAGGAGAGCAACTGTAATGGGGTGGAGCCAGGGCAGGACACGCCCTCCCCGTTCACACCAGGCCCCCGGAGCCCCGAGCCGCCCGCACTCACCTGGTCCAGATAGAGCGTCACCTGGTCATTCTGCACCTTCAGCCACTTCACCAAACGCTGCTTCTCCAGCTAGGAGCAGAGGGAGGAAACAGCTGAGCCAGGAACGGAGGGGCTGGGGCCAGAGTCACTGCTCTGCTGGGGGCTGGAACATGGGGCACCAAACGCCCCCGTGGCCGAGGGGCCTGGCTGCCACCCCCCATGCCAGTCACAGCTGAGCACTGGGTGTCTGCTGGGGGAGAGGCGGGACTGTAGACATGGGCGTTGTGTTGTAGGGGGAGATAAGCAAGGTCAGGGAGTGCTTCTATATCGTGATGCCAACTTTTCCCAAGCTAGCACTAAAAATTTCCCAAATCTGGTGAAAAATTCCCAGATAAAGTTTTTTATTTCAAAATCTCAAAGGAACATAATATGTGTTTTTTTAATAACTATATAATATATATTATATCCAAATTATTCTTATTCGTTCGAGATATTTCACATTTATTATAATTTTTATACATATAGATGTTTTTCAATTTTAAATTTATGTGACTTATACAGTAAATAAAATATTTAACACGTGAGGAGTAGGCTTGAAATTATAGAAAACAATGTATTTTACACAAATTTCACTATTTAAAAAACAAAAGTATTAATAAGGACAGCATGTGGATAGCTCAGTGGTTTGAGCATTGGCCCGCTAAACCCAGGGTTGTGAGTTCAATCCTTGAGAGGGCCACTTAGGGATCTGGGGTAAAAATCTGTCTGGGGATTGGTCCTGCTTTGAGCAGAGGGTTAGACTAAATGACCTCCTGAGGTCCCTTCCAACCCTGATATTCTATGTGCCCTGCAGTGTACTGTACATCAAATATCAGGGGGTAGCCGTGTTAGTCTGTATCTGCAAAAACAACAAGGAGTCTGGTGGCACCTTAAAGACTAACAGATTTATTTGGGCATAAGCTTTTGTGGGTAAAAACCTCACTTCTTCGGATCCACTGTACATCAAAGCTACTTTGAAAAAATAAAAAGTAAACATATGATTATAAAATAAGATACAAAAGCAAACAGAACAAATAACACTCTTTTATATAATTTTCCTTATTATTATAATCTCTGAGTTTTATCCATTTTCCAACTCATGGTCTGAGTCATCACGAGGAACATCATTAATATTTTAACTAGCTTTATCACTGTCATTTTTACTGTACATATTTGTACAATGTAAATACAAGTGCTTAATAGTAATTACAAAATTAGAACATTTCTCTTGCTTTGCTTTCAAAGCTGATGTTATAATTACACTAGAATTGAGTGCTTTGATTGTCATACAGTTTCTTTTTTTGGTTTTTATGTCAGTTACCAGGGAAAAAATTCCCAAGTTGAAACATTTTACTCAAAAATTCCCAGATTTCGGGAAATTTCCCAGGATATAGAAGCACTGGGGTCAGGGCCTGCTCAGTGACTGGATGGGAGACCCAGAGCTGCGCAGTGCCCCACGGCAGGAGGCAGGGCTCTGCGGGGGGAGCTCCCCCTGGGGGTCAGAGCTGCAATCTGTGCTCTCCTGGGGGTCTGGGCTCTTCCCCATGGATCAGCCCCTGGTTTCATGCTGTGTGACTGGCCCGGCCTGTTCTCCTCCCTGGGAAGCTCACCTGCCGCAGGGACCTCTTGACAGGGGTGTAGCCGGACGGCAGCTTGGCCTCGATGATGGCCATGTTGGTGGCTGGGCGCTCCCCGCTGTACCTGCAACAGGAGCCGTGCGCTGAGGTCGGGGTTTGCCCTGGATACAGACCCCAGGGGGATGGAGGGAGCAGGGCCGGCTCTGGCTTTTTTGCTGCCCCAGGCAAAAAAGCCGCCGGCCGCACCCCCACCCCCCACCCCCCGCGGCGGCCGGAGCCCTGGGAGGAGGGCGGTGAGCCCCAGCGGGGGCTCCGCTCTCCCCGCGGCGGCCGGAGCCCTGGGAGGAGGGCGGTGAGCCCTGGTGGGGGCTCCGCTCTCCCCCCGGCGGCTGGGGGGAGGGTGGCAGGAGCCCTGGGAGGAGGGCGGTGAGCCCCGGCGGGGGCTCCGCTCTCCCCCCGGCGGCCAGAGCGCAGGGAGCAGGGCGGCGAGAGGGTGGCGAGCCCCAGCCAGGCGCCGGGGGGAGGGCGCCAGGGGAAGGTCCGTGAGCCCGGCCGTGGCCCCACTCTCCCCGGGGGCCGGAGCGCCGCGCCGCCCCCCTCCAGGTGCCGCCCCAAGCACAAGCTTGGTGGGCTGGTGTCTGGAGCCGGCCCTGGGAGAGGGAGGGGAGGCCTCCCATCTTCTCGGCCCTGCAGGCGTCTCTAATGCCCTCTGCCTGCTCTGGGCTGTGAGCCCCGCTAGCCCCCGGACAGCCCTGAGCTCCCCAGCAAGGGGCCCCGGCCCCAGGAGCTCCTTGGGAGCCGACTGTCCATTAGATCAGCCCCGGGACCAGCCCTTTAGTCCCTGGCACATTCCAAGGGGCCCCTGCCTCTGCCCCGAGCCCTGTGGGGGGGTGGCTCCCCCGGCGATCGATTCCTGCCCTGCCCCGGCCCTGCAGTGGGGCGGCTCTGCCCCGGCCATTTCCCCGCTGCTTGGGGCCTGCCCCTGCCCCTGGACCCGGTGGGGGGGCTGGGGCTCGTACCGGGCGTGCAGCACGAGGCTGAAGCGGGATCTGGAGGTCTCGGTGCACTCCTTCGGCTCCGTCTCCACCCGCAGGTCAAAGGTCGCGGCGCTCTTTGGGGGCGGCACGTTGTAGCGCAGAGTCAGCTGGGAGACAAGCAAGAGGGTTGGGGCAGAGCCTGCTGCCTCCGCCACAGCAGATCAGAGCCTGGGCCCAGAGCCAGGCGCCGTGGGGCAGGGCAAGGGCACAGCTAGTCACCGCTGGGCCGGCTGGTCCCCAGGGGCTCCTGCACTCACCTGCACAAAAACACAGCCCTTGCCGCTGGCCCGCACCGTGTACTGCCCGGCGATCTCCTGCAGGGCCGCTCGCTGCAGCACCAGCCGGTTGGCATTCTCCACGTGGAATTGCTGCCGGGCCCCGGCCTGGGAGCTCACCGTCACCGACACAGCCCCGCTCGTGCTGTACGTCAGGGCCGCGTATTTGGCCAGGGCCTGCAGGGCGACCACCGTGTCCTGGGGAGGAGAGTCACCGAGCTGCTGTCACGCTCTGGGGAGAGGAGCCCGGCTCAGACTCACTGCAGCAGGATCAGGACCTGCTGGGGCGCTGACACCGGAACCCCGGCTCCCAGCCCCTGAGGGCAGGGGGCTCTGCACCCACAACTTCCTCTCCCAGGTAGGGCTCCAGGTCAGCTGTGGAGATGTAGCCCCTGGGGGGCTCCTGGCCCCTTCCTGCACCAGGGCCTCAGCACTGGTTTGCCCCGAGGGCAGGGGTGTTACCTGCGTGGAGGAGAAGCCCCCAAAGGGGTCCTGCTGCCTGCTGAGCCAGCGGACGATCTGGGCGGCGGTCGTCATGTCAGCAGCGGACACATTGGGCAGGGAGAGATAGGCCAGGAGCACGTAAGCCGTCATCTCCACCTCCGCCAACAGGGCCTGGTTCCTGTAGGGGCTGGGCAGGGCCTTCACCTTCCTCTGCCAGTAGAGCTGTCCCCCTAAGAGAGGGGCCGAGAGAAGGGCAGCCCCACGGCTGCAGTTACAACACAGTGGGTCACCTGTTTGCTTTCCAAAGGGGCCCCAGGGGCTTCCCAGGCCAGAGGGACTCCTGCTCCCCACTGAATGCAGCCACCTCTGGGGCAGGACACTGCAGGTGATTCACAGCGCACAGGAGGGCTACACAAGTGTAACACGACACCCCTGGGTGGGTCGTCAGCAGGGACTGAACCCTGGATCTCTGATTCAAAAACCCTGAGCCTCTGCTGCCTGAGCTAAAAACCCAGCTTCGGTGGGTCATTGGCTGCAAGTGAACCCGAAACCTATGCGGTGCGGCCGCTCGGGGGCAAAGGTGGTGCTAACCCAAGGGGGGGCCTAAGCAGGAATATTCTTCCCCCCCCAGCCCATTACAAATATTAGCTGCATTATATCCACAAACCAATAAATAGCCCTGTGACGTTGCACTCCATATTATTTATGAAAATATGCTTATGAGACTAATATGACATCACTGAGATACACGTTACGCAAGATGGCTCATGTGAGATATCATTGGAAAGGTTCTGATTTACTCAATGTGATTATCCAATTCGTATGCATGTATCATCTCTGTATCTAAAGCTAGGCATATGGACTATGTAACCATTACAAATTACAGATTTGATGGGCCGTCAGGAAGGAACAACAAGACCATGAGGATACTAATCTCTCTCCCTGCTGGGAAGCATCCAGGGATGTAACTGTGACACTGCTAGGTCAGGTGGTCTTGTCACCTGATATTAAACATTATTTTAATATCTGGGACTTCTTGTAACATTCCACTGGAAGGGAAAGCGGGTCAAGTCTGGGAAACAAAGGATTCCCACCTTATGTAAATCCTATTTAAGGGTGGGAAGGAAGGCAAATGGGGGGACTCCTCTCCATGGCCTGTCTGCCCAAGAAGAAAGACTGCTAAAGCCACCTCGAGGGCCAGGCAAGGGGGGAGTCCAGACTGAGACAGGGGTCCAGTCTGAAAAGAAATATAACTGGAACTCTGAACCACAGAAACTTTGCAACCTGCCTAAAATAACATTTAGGATAAGAAATTACATTTTGTAACCTGTTTCTTAAGTATATTAAGTTTAGCTTGTGCACTTTGTTTTATTTGCTCAGTAATCTGCTTTGTTCTGGCTGTTCTCTCTTATATTACCTTACAATTCACCTTTTGTAGGTAATAAACTTATTATTTATAATATAAACCAGTTTGTACACTTTCTAACTGGGGGGACGGCGCAGGAAGTCAGGCACATCTCTCTTCACACTGAGGAAGAGGGCGGATTTTTATGAGTTTGCGCTGTGCAGATTTTTCTATACAGCGCCAGACAGTATTATTCTGGGTTTATCTCCCAAAGGGGTGTGCATGTGAGTGCTGGGGGAGTCATCACACACAGAGCTGATGTCAGTCTCTGTCTGCAGCAGGGTGTGGCCCTACCTGTGTGTGCTGCAAGAGGCCAGAGAGCCTAATTCGGCAACGCACAGAGAGGGAACCCTGGGGATTGAGCAGGGGAGGCTCAGGCCTAGTCTACACTGGAAATGTTAAAGCTTTAATGTGACTTGTGTGGTCGCGGCGCAGCACTGGGAGAGAGCTCTCCCAGTGCTCTAAAAACCCACCTCCACGAGGGGCGCAGCTCCCAGCGCTGGGGCACTGTCTACACTGGCGCTTTACAGCGCTGCAACTTGCTGTGATCAGGGCGGTGTTTTCCCACACCCCTGAGTGAGAAAGCTGCAGCGCTGTTAATTGCCCGTGTAGACAAGCCCTCAGTGAAATCCCAGTACATCAGATGGTATCCCAGAAGGGGGGTCCAACCCATCACAATCCCAACCCCCCCCCAAAACCGACACCCTGTAAAAAGGCCACGTTACATTAGATGAACGGGTTTGGGGGGAAATACCAAACTGGGGGACCCATGAGCTTCTTGGGACCCTAAGCAATTGCTTAGTCTGCTTGTGCCTTGTGCCACCACTGCTAGAGGGGGACAGAGAGCCCCTGAGAGACTGCGGGACCCCCTGGGGCTGGGGGCAAGAGGGGAGCACGACCCAGGTGAAGCGCAGGGATGGCGCTGACGCCTGATAAACACGCCCCTCCACAGGGTCTTTGTGACCTCGGAGACAGGTCCTGTTACCCGAGGGCTGTTTTACCCCAGTGCCTAGTGGCCCCTGGGTGCCCCAAGCAGCAGAGCCCCCACCTCTCCCCTCCCTGGGGCAGGAGCCACGTGCTGCTCCCAGCACTTCTTACCCGCCTCAGGGCAGGGCAGGAGGCGACACACACAACTCGCGGGCACAGACCAGCTGCAGCTGCTGCGCCGCGGCTTGGAGAGAAGGGACTTTTCACCTGAGCCGAGACACGACAGAGCCGTCCGGACAACGCAGGTGGCTCCTCTCTGTGGGGGACGTCTCCCCAGGGCCCGGCAGGAACCGAGCGCGCCAGGCCTCAGCTCCAGGCACGGCTCAGTCTGAGCTCGAACGGCGCGGAGGAGACGCACAGAGATCACTGGGGCGTGGTCATGACGAGTGTGAGGGACCCAACCTGGGACTCCCAGCGCCCCCTGGCCTCATGCCGAGGGCTCCTTCAGCTCAGCACTGACGTGGGGCAGCGCCACCTCCTGCGTCCCCAGCCGCGCTCCCAGTGGGCCTAGGGCCTCCCATGGGACCTCCTGCCCTCTGGGGAGCTGGCCCCAGGCTGCATCGCTCACACCGGGGCTGGGCTGGGAGCGGCACAAACCCAAGAGCATCTGTGCAGGGAAAGGCTAGGGGAACTGGAGCGGGGGGACAGGCAGCCTCCCATGGGTCCCTGGGGGGCACATGGTGCAGACAACGGGGCACCCAGAGACCTGCTTCCCTGTACAACCTCCTCTCCCAGAGACAGCAGGGCCTAGCCGGCCCCGGCCCAGTGCTGCCCGTTCCCCTCCCAGTATTAGCCAGGCCAAGCCGAGAAGCCTCGGGCAGGGACTCCCCAGCTGTATGTCCCCAACACAGGATGGGGGCTGGGATCTTCTGGCATCTCCCCAGGGCTCGGTTATGGCCCATTCCCCTTGGGAGCTGCCTATGCAAGGCCCTGCCCCACAGGCTCTGAGCCCACTGGTCCCCGTCACGCTCCTGGCCCCGGGTGCTTTAGAGGACTGGGTTGGGACATGGGGCTTTGCCCCTCTAGGTTCTCAGCTCCAATCCCCCCAGGCTGGCAGCGACCCAGCCTCGTCCCCCTTCACTCCATGCGCTGGGCCCTGGGAAATGGCGGGACGATCTCACTCCAGCTCTGAGGGGAGAAGTGTCCCCACGACAGAGCCCGGCGTATCGGCCCCTCGCTGGCAGCCTCAGCAGAGACCACGGACTGACTGGGCCACGGAGACCCAGCTCCCCTGCCAGGCTGAGGAGGCCCCGGGGCAGGGGGTACCTGGGTGGGCAGGGCCGTGGGGGGCAGCTGGCCCTGCCCTGTGTCTAGAGGCCGGCAGAGAGGAGAGTACTAGAGCGAGGTGCTGCCGGTACCGGCGCTGACGCTGTGCTGGGCCAGGTGCTGCAGAAGGGCGTCCCGCAGTTCAGTGCTCCCTGCCAGCCCGAAGGCGTAGGCCAGCAGCGCCTGCGTGTAGAGGTCGCTGGTGCTTGACTCCCGGAGGCACTGGAGGGCCCTGGTCACCATGGGGTCCTGGGACAGGGGAGACACCGAACAGACTCCCCATCAGGCTGAACCGGCCAGAGGAGATGCCCCGCGCCTGGGTGTGTCCCCCAGCAACCACCCTATGGGGCACAACTACCTCCTCCCGCCAGCCTGTCGTCACCTCCCCTGACCCATCCCCCCACCCACACCCTGCGCCCCACAAGCCTCGCCAGACCCCCTCCCCCGAGCGCTAGACACCGAAACAGCCCAGCCCCTCCCCAAGCTGCTGAATCTTCCTCCAACTCTGACCCCAGCCCAACTCCCCACAGCACCCTGACCCCCGCCTTGGTACCAACCGCCCCCGACTTGTCAACTTCCCCTCCCCCCACCAACCCGCCTCTCCACTGTTGCCCACAGCTCCCTGACCCCCACCTTGGTACCAACCCCCCCACTGACCTGTCAACTTCCCCTCCCCCTATCAACCCACTTCTCCACTGCACCCCACAGCACCCTGTCACCCCCAAATCTTGCCAGCCCCTCCCCTGGGACAGCCGGGCTTGGCCTCACCGTGAGCGGCTGCCCCAGCTCCAGCAGCGCCACCGTGATGTAAGCCGAGAGAGAGAGCTCATCCACCACGCCGCCCTGACGGGGAGAGAGACACCGGGAGTCGGCTCAGACCGAGCTGCAGGTCACATTGCCAGGATCAGGTGATCCGCTGCCCAGGACAGGCCCATTGGGACAGAGAAGAACCGGATCCAGCGCTCCGAGTGGCTGGGTTTGGTTCCCACCTCCTGCTGGGACCTGTCAGGCCCATCTGGGTCCCGAGCAGCTGCCCCCAGTCGTAGCAGCCAGGGAGGCCACACGGTGGCAGTGAGTTCCACAGGCTACTTCAGGAGAGGTGGTAGTGGCTCCATAGCCATGGCTGCACTGGACTCCCAGCATAAAACCCTATCTGAGCCCCCCTGGAACCAGAGGCTGGGAAGTTGGTTTGAACTGACATTTGCCAGATTTCCTGTGAAGACCAGGGGCCGTTTCTGCAGAGGCTGAGGGATTCGCCTCTCGCTGGGGGAGTCGATGCTCATTAAATAGTCCCCCTGTGCGGGAATCCGGACTTTGCCTAAGATTTGTCTCCTTCTATCTCCCAAATGGCCGGGTACAGACCCAGCCCACTGTGACGTTATGAGTGTAATATAATATCTCACTGAAAGGTGACAGGGCCAGAACGAGTTAATTAACTCACAGACTGACCCGGCCCATGGCCGAACTTTAGAGACTGGTTAGGAAGATATGTAAATGAATAGAGCTTTGAAATGCAAGTCTGCATTGTTAGAGATCGAATGGGAGATGTTTGCTCAGGTCTTGTGATGTAAGCAAACAAGTCTTGTCTATTGCTATAACTTTAATTCAAAGATCAAAAAAGGAATATTAACGTTTATGAAGACACATGAGAGAAATAGTATTATTGTCTCTATGTCTCTTTGAAGGTTGTGGTAACCTGTATCTGAACTGTTTAATGGATAAATTACCCTGTGCTAATTGCCATGATGTTTAGGAGAAGGAGACTTAAGCCTATTGTTTTCTCAGGCCAAAAGGCTGCTGGAAATGTATAAAAACCTTGGGACACGATCCTTCTTCATCTCAGATCTGCTTTGGGTTTCAAGAGAGAGAAACTTAATCCACAAGGATTGAGATCCCCAGTCACTGACTGGAGTCATCCTGAATATGGACACTGGACTATAACCTATGGACTATTTCCAAAAGGACTTTTGGCAACTACAAGCTCATCTCTGCTATGTATCAGAACCTCAAGAATTGAACTCAAGTCTGTGTGTATATTGATCTTTTAACCAACACTCTCTCTCTTTTCTTTTTTAATAAATGTTAGTTTAGTTAACCAGAATTGGCTATAAGTGTGTATTTTGGGTAAGATCTAAGTTATCATTTGACCTGGGTCTGGGGCTTGGTTCTTTGGGATCAGAAGAACCTTTTCTTTTATATGATGACATAAGATTTTCAGTAATCATCATCATATCTGACATGTGTGTCTGGACGGAGGCCTGAGGCTGGGCATTTTAAGGGAACTGTGTTGTTTGGACGTCTGCATAACCAGTGAGGTAATACAGAAGCTGCTTTGTGCTGGCTTGGTAAATCTAAGTATTGGAATATCCACCCGCATTTAGGGTTTGTCTGCCCTGTTCTGTCTGCAGTTCACCCTGATTGAGTGACCTCAGCTGGCTCCCACGGGCAGCATCGTCACCCCCCTCTTGTAGATTCCCGGCTCCCTGCAAACTCCGGGCAGTGGCAGGAATTGGGCTGTGACTCGAGCTGGGTGGGAATTTCCTGCTGAAATGATTTCTCGACAGACGATGCAGTTTCCACAAAACCAAAACTTTGAGGGAAAACGTTACTTTTGCTGAAACGTTTCGATTTCTGTTGGGAAAATAGAAACGCAACATTCTGCTGTGGGTCGGCGGGGCCCAAATCACAGCCTCTCGGGTTGGCGACCTGAATCTATACCTTCCACTGCAAACCGGTTCAACATTCAGCTGCACTGGCCTCATGACCCCGTTCCCCCATGGACTCGGGCTCCTTCGGACTTCATCTCCCATGATGCACCGCAACCGCCCTTCTGACTGAGCCGCATGGGGAGTTGTGGGAGTCACATGACTTCAGGGCTGGGCTGGGCCCTGCCCCTCAGGCTCTCCGTGCCAGGCAATGAGTGCGGGGTCTGCTCAGTGCCCGCGGGGAGACCGGGCTGTGCAGGAGCCGGGGGGCTGGGCCAGGGCTGCTCCCTCGTTCGGTGCAAGAACCCGCTGCCCCGGCCGTTCCAGCCATTCAGCCATTGCTAAAAACCCAGGGAAATACCCCAAACCGACACGGGTGACAACAACCAGCTGCCATGAGGGGCCCCCACCCCCTTCCCCAGCTTCTCCCCTCCTCCCCCATCCCACCTGCAGGGCGTTGTTCAATAGCTTCCCCACACTGCGGAAGCAGCCGGTCTTCCGCTGGCGGTTGTGCAGCCACCCTAGGGCGTCCTCTAGGTGTTTCTCATCAATGGAGATATAGGGCCTGGCTTGGCCAAAGGACTTGAGAACGAAGGCCGTCAGCCTGGGTGGGGAGAGACCCCGTGAGAGGGACACTCTGCAGGAGATGCTGCGGGCCAGGAGGGAGGTACGTCGGGGACGGGGCTGGGGGTGAGCATTGTGGGGGGTGAGCAGAGATGTCAGGGGAGCCCAGAACGGGAATGGGAGGATTTGGAGTAAGTGGGGCAGAGCTGTGTGGGGAGCAGGACTGGAATAGCAGTGGGGCTGGGGGTCAGGCTGCAGCCCGGTAGGCCCTGCCCACCCAGAGCTCTGACTCGCCCGTGCCGTGCGGCCCCTCACCAGGTGTTGCCCCTGGCATCCCTCTTCCTAGAGGCGCTGTAAGAGCCATCGTTGTGTTTGTAGAGCAGCTCGCACTCGTAGCCTGCAGGGATGGGAGAGAGACAGCAAGTCCTGGATCCGCTCACCCCCCGAGGGGCTAGAATCCACCCCCAGCCTGCACCCCATGGGGCCCGCCAGCCCTCCCCTCCCCCACGACGCTGAGACTCAGAGATTCCAGGGGTCGGTTTGAATAGGGGGATGGAGTTAAGGCTGAATAGGGCCCTGATCCCACCCAAACGCTCCAGCGCCCCGACCTGGGGCTCGATCCCAACCAGCGCCCCCTCCTAGGGGGGAAAGGGCTCCTCTCCCATTTCCTGAACCCTGAGTCAAACAGTCCTTATGACCTGGGCCTCGGGACTGGTGCCCCAGAGAGGAAAGGCCAAGGATCTAATTCACTGACCCCCAGAGTCAGCCAGGGTCCTGATCTGGGGCTGGATTGGAACCCGGGCCCCAGAGGTGGCACGGACAGGGCCCTCACATGGCCCCGCCATGCCCTGTGGGCGCAGGGGCGGGAGGACACTCACCGCTCTGGAGGAATCCCTGGGCCTTGTCCCTGATCTCCGGGCTCAGCTGCCCGCTCTTCTCCAGGTACTGCTGGATGTAGATGTTGGGAGCAAACTGGACCATGTTCTCTTCTCCATCGCCGTAGGGCATGGCCAGCAGCTGGTCTATGTTCTGCAGAGCTGTGCCTATAATGTCTCCTGGCACCAAGGGAGTTGGGGAAGCAGAGAATTACCAGGCTGCACAACAGCTGCCCCGTCCCTAACACTACATCAGTGAAGCCCTGGCACGCGGAGGCCCAGAGCCCCCAGTTCAATTCAGGCCTGGTGGGGTTACATGGATACGTGGTGATGAATGGCCAAGACACCAATGCCCTGGCACAACTTTATGGCATCACCGCAGGAGTCTATTGCCCTCACTGGGGACAAGGCCCTGGAGCACAGACTGCAGGGAACAGTCCTGCCCTGGCCCCAGACACCCACAAGACATCATTGGTCTTTTCCATCCGTGATGCCCCGGCCTCTCTGATCAGAGCCCTGGGCCACAGATGGGCTGACTGGTGAAGGGCACCGTGCCCTGGCAGGGATGTGTGGTGTTTAGATGCTGCTGTAATTATTAGAACTGGGAGCACTGGCTGTTGGGAGTCTGAAAGGACAGGAAACAGGAAGGAGGGGGGAGGAGTTGAGGAGACAGAGTGAGCGTTACAGAGGGTGCAGCAGCAGCTTGGTAAAGAGGTTTCCACTGAAAAAATAAAGTCCTGTTGAAGTTTGTTAGTACCTTGCCTGGTTGATACAACATTTTGGCGACGAGGATGGATCTTCTGCCTCTGAACCCACCTGCACCTTTTCTGCAAAGCCCAGGTGAGCCTCCAATTGCTTTTACTGTCTGGAGCCATATGTTTGAGCCTTATCTGCTTGCAATCAGTGCTACAGAGATTTCTGAAGTAAGAAAGCGTGCTCTGCTAATCCACTGCCTTGGAGCAGAAGGGCAGTGTATATTTTACACTTTTCCCCTTGCAGATGATAAATATGAGACTGCACTCACTGCATTAAAGAACTTTTTTGTGCCAAAGGTGAATGTAGTAGCTAATTGCTACAGATTTCGCCAGCGTGAGCAGAAACTAGGGGAGACTATAATGCAGTATATTGTTTCCCTGAGGAGTCTGATTGTAACTTGTGACTTTGGGAATATGGCAGATGAGATGATTAGAGACCAGCTCATTGAGAAAACAACCATGGTTTGTGTAAGAGAACGCTTACTTCTAGAACCACAACTGACTCTAGAAAAAGCAATAACCATTGCTACTCAGAGTGAGTCAGCTACAGATACAGGAGGTACAGTCCAGGCTGTGACTCGTTTGCAGAAAAGTTCACTATCGCTGCAGACAAACAATTGCAAGAGGAAAACTAATGAAAAGCCATTGACTCAGCAAATTTGAAATACAGTAAAAGCATACTTTCGCTGTGGATCCCCACACCATCTTGCAAGCTACACAGGATGTCCAGCAAAAGTAGCTCAGTGCAATCATTGCAAAAAGATTGGGCATTTTGCTAAAGTATGTCGCAGTAGCCAGTCCAATCAACAGGTGCATGCAGTTACAATACCAGGTGTTACTGTGCTGAGTGTGGACAAAATCACTACTGCACATATTCCAGAACAGATAATCATAGAATCTCAGGGTTGGAAGGGACCTCAAGAGGTCATCTAGTCTAATCCCCTGCTCAAAACAGGACTAATCCCCAGACAGATTTTTACCCCAGTTCCTTAAACAGCCCCCTCAAGGTTTGAGCTCACAACCCTGGGTTTAGCAGGCCAATGCTCAAACCACCAAGCTATCCCTCCCCCACTGCATTGTAAACGTTTCCACCATACCCTCAGGCAAATCACACTCTGTTCAGCTAATGTTGGACACTGGCTCAGCAGTAACTATACTACCTGATTCCATCTATTTGCATTACTTTAAAGATGTGCCTCTTACTGAACCCAAACTTCAGTTGGTGTGCTATTTGCAAAACCATATTCCAGTACATGGCTGCCTGCCAGCAATAGTTACTTTTGGTGATTGCTGTGTAACTGCAGAGTTCTACGTTGTCCACAAAGGCACTCCTATCCTTGGCAGAGATTTATTGGCTGCTTTAAATCTCAGGGTAGTTAATGGACGAATTGATCTTCCTCAGCAAAGCACTCTTGCGGTACACACACCAGTTTCAGCTGGGACCCAGCACCAGGTTGAGGAGAAACTCGGCTGTGCTTATGGGTTTCTGCATAATGTTAAAATGCGGAATAATGTGATGCCTGTACGACAGAAATTACGGTGCTTACCATTTTCAGTCAGGGAAGCTCTTTCAGAGGAACTTAGAAAACTTGTTCAAAAGGACATTACTGAAGAGATTAACTCCTCGGAATGGGTTTCACCTATAGTAGTGACGCAGAAGAAGTGGGGAGACATTTGCCTTTGTGTGGATTTAAGGGAGCCAAATAAAGCTATTGTGATTGACAGCCATCCTCTTCCTCACATAGAAGAAGTATTTGCAGAACTCCGTGAAGCAAAGATGTTTTCTACTCTTGATTTGCAGAGCGCATACCACCAGGTTATGTTGCATGAAGATAGCAGAGACCTCACAGCATTTATTACACATGATGGACTATTTCATTTTAAATGTGTTCCTTACGGTCTCACATCAGCCCCAAGTGCCTTCCAAAAAATGATGTCAGTGATTCTGAAGAATCAACATGGGAGTTCAGTGCTATTTGGATGATATTATCGTGTTTGAAAATACTACTGAGGAGCATGACAATAACCTGCAGTCTGTACTAAACTGCATCAGCAAAGCAGGCCTAAAGCTCAATAGGTCCAAATGCAAATTTAGACAAACTGAACTCTCTTTTCTGGGGCATACAATTTCACAGGCTGGACTAAAACCTGACCCAGATCATATCATGGCAATTTCAAATGCTCCTCCTCCAACAGATTTGCAAATCTTACATTCCTTCTTGGGTCTTACCTCCTGGTATGCAAAATTCATTCCCTATTATGCCTCTGTCATTGAACCGTTACAAGAATTACTACGGAGAAGTTCAACCTTAGTGTGGACAACGGATGCACAAGCTAGTTTCAAAACCGTGAAAGACTTGATTGTACATAGTCCAGTACTTGCACTATTCAGTCCTGCATTGCCCACAATTGTAACTACTGATGCTTCTGATTATGGACTTGGGGCTGTCCTCACACAGCTTCATGAGGACAACACAGAGAGGACTGTTGCATTTGCTTCAAGGACACTAAGTAATGCTGAAAGAAAATATTCTACAGTCGAAAAAGAAGCACTTGCTTGTGTCTGGGCTACTGAAAAATGGAGAACTTACCTGTGGGGCCGCACGTTCAAGTTGTGCACAGACCACAGCCCTTTGACGATGTTGCTTACCACAAAAGGACTGGGAAGAGCAGGATATCATATTGCTAGATGATCTGCAAGACTACTCTCTTTCAATTATGAACTGGAATATAAGCCTGGAAACAAAAATGTGGTAGCTGATTGCCTTTCTCGCCTGTCTTTGCCTTCACCAGATGGTCCACCGGAGGATAAGGATGTAGTAGTTGCGCTTATTACAAGCACTCTTACTGCAGTTACAAGAGAACAATTTCAAGCTGCTTGTTCAGCGTGTCCAATTCAACAAAAACTACAGGAATTTCTGACAAAGAGATGGCCCAGTAACCCTAAAAACCTTGACCCAGTTTTGCTACCTTGTTTTAGAGTTCGGGATGAACTTTCTTTGCTCAATGACTGGGGCTACGAGGTACACACCGGCTACTTGTGCCAGAAGAATTACAGTCAAAACTCATACACCTGGCACACGATACTCATCAAGGAATTGTCAGAACCAAACAATGACTACGGGATCTATACTACTTGGTCCTGCCAGTGAAGGGAGGGGGCTGGACTCCATGACCTTTCAAGGTCCCTTCCAGTTCTAGGAGATAGGATATCTCCATTAATTTATATTGGTGGCCAGGGATGGTCTCTCAAACTGAAGCACTCATAAAATCCTGTGTCACTTGTCAAATGCATGATAAGACAGCAGTGACATGTACCCCTCCATTACAGCCTATTCCTCTTCCTGAATCTGCATGGGAAAAAGTGGCGATTGACATGGTAGGACCCTTTGATACTGCTCCAATTGACTTGTCGTTATGCCATCACTTTAATAGACTATTTCAGTAAATGGCCCGAGGTAGCATTTACATCGCAAATCTCTTCTGCTACAGTAATTAAGTTTCTCTCTTCAGTTTTTAGCCGGGACGGTAACCCCAAAGAACTGGTTTCAGATAATGGTAGTCAATTTACTTCCCTGGAGTTCGAAACTTTTCTAGCAGAGAGGAACATTTTACACAGAAGGTCATCGCTATATTACCCTCAAGCCAATGGGGAAATTGAACAGTTTAACAGAAGTTTGAAAGAGAGTTTGCAAACGGCTCAACTGGAAGGGCGATTGTGGATAACCTTCACGACTGATTTCTTGCAAGCGTACCGGGCTACACGACATGCCACAACGCAAAGATCACTCGCAGAGTTACTGCATGGGAAACAGCTGACTACTAAACTGAACATTGCTGGATTGTTAAAGGCACGACCTGATGCCCCAAACGAGGATGATGTGAGAAAAACAGTTGAACAGAACCAAGCAAAGTCTAAGGCTTTCACAGACAAGCGGTGGAGTGCTAAGGAACCAAAGTTTGAATGTGGTTCCTTTGTTAGAATACGAAAACCTGGAATCTTACGCAAAGGGGACCATAAATTCACAGCTCCTCTCAAAATCATACAGAAGAAGGGACCTTACACCTATCGACTTTCTGATGGGCGGGTATGGAATGCTTCTTATCTTGCACCTGCCTATGCACCAAGAGGAGATTATGCCAACACCCAGTCTGCATTGGATGACTTCACCGTAGAACCACCACAACAAGACATTGCACTGGAACCGGGGCTTGAGAGACGGCCTGTCAGACCCAGACGACCACCTGCCTGGACTAGAGACTATGTTATGTACTATCTACAGTGTTTTCAGTGTAATATTTCTGCCAAAAGTATAGTGTCTTGTTTCATATTTGTTCCTGTGGTTAGAACAATGTTTATTTTAATTGGGTAATTTTCTTAAGAGAGGAGGGACTGTGGTGTTTAGATGCTGCTGTAATTATTAAAACTGGGAGCGCTGGCTGTTGGGAGTCTGAAAGGACAGGAAACAGGAAGGAGGGGGGAGGAGTTGAGGCAGAGTGAGAGTTACAGAGGGTGCAGCAGCAGCTTGGTAAAGCGGTTTCCACTGTAAAAATAAAGTCCTGTTGAAGTTTGTTAGTACCTTGCGTGGTTGATACAACAGGATGGGACAGGGGAATTCCTTACCCAGGACAGTCACGTGGGCCCGCTCGGACCCCGCCAGGACGTTCGCTGGCAGCTGCAAGGAGATTTCTTCGGACGCTGAGTAACACGAAGGCAAAGACAAACCGTTAAAGGCCTGTTGGGAACCTGCCCCTGTCTCCAGCCAATCAGATCCCTCCATTACTCACCGTTTGGGGCTCTCACCCAATCACAGCCCCTCTCTCAATCCCAAGCTCCCCCTGCCGTGGCACATACGTGCCCTTGAGGGCGAGGGCTGGGGGTTCTCAGCGGAGGGTCCTGCCTGTGGGAGCTGGTCCCTCTCCTGGCCCCAGAGAGCCGGTGTGACGAGCTCTGCAGGGAGCATCGTACACACGGGACCAGGATGCAGGGGAGAGGAGCTGGCGGAACAGGGGCCCAGTGAGACTCGGGAGCAGGAGCCGAACGTGCTCGAGCCTTCGGCCCATGGCAGACGGTTCCATAACTGCCCACTAGGGGGTGCATCTTCCCCGGGCAGCTGGGCCTGGACCCTGTCCCAGGCAGGACATTGGCCTGGATGCTCCCTGGTCCGGTCCGGCCTGGCGGCTCCTGTGCCCCTAGCTGGGCCATCCAGCGGCTCAGCCATCACTGACGTGCCGCAGCCAAGAGACGCCCCGTGTTAGTGACACCCACTGAGCCCCGCACAGGCGCTGGGATCCTACCTTCCTGGCAGAGCAGGGAGCTGTGCA